GCTGGGAACGGCCAAATCGTCCTTTATAACAGAGCAAACAACCGGATGCTTCGAATGTCAGATCACACCATGGACTTCAGTGGCCACATGGATCCACATCACTTGCCAGATGGATGGGCTTGGGAACGTTTCCAGGTGGTGCGCTTGAAGCCGTATCTTCAGCCGGGTGCTGTGGTGGCCCTCCGTTGTCCGCATCACGGCCGCTACATTAAGATGCTTCCAGGTGCACCGAGCACCCTTCTGCTGGCCAAGGACAACCAGAGTCAAAATGAGACATTCTTCCCATCCTCTGGCTGGGGAAACATCGGGAACATCGGACACAACATCGTACAGCAGGTTAACCAGGCGGCCGAGCAGGCAGCAAGAGCCGCCCGCGAAGCGGCCGAGCGGGCTGCCCGCGAAGCGGCCGAGCAGGCTGCCCGTGAAGCAGCGCTCAGGGGCACCATCGGTGTCAGCCCTCACATGGATGAGAAGAACTTCCCAGATGACTGGACTTGGGAGCGCTTCACGGTGATTGATGCCGGCAACGGGCAGGTGGCCTTCCACAACAGCATTCACAACAGGTACCTGAAGATGAACGGCGACCGAATGCAAGTCAGCCCCCCCAAGGCTCCAGATGCCTTCCCCTCTGATTGGCCTTGGGAACGCTTCTCGGTGCTTCCTGCTGGTCACGGTCAGTTCATGTTCCACAACTCTGCGCACAATCGCGCGATAAGGATGACAGGTGATAAGGTGGATGCCAGTGGCCACATGAACCCGCACGACATCCCGGCTGATTGGACTTGGGAGCGGTTCCAGATTGTGCCTGTAAAGCCTTACTTGCAGCCCGGTACTGTGGTGGCCCTGCACTGTGCCATTCACAACCGCTACGTCTCGATGAATGGGGCTGCACTCCAGCGAAGCCCAGAGATGGGCGTCAACGACCTGCCAGCCTGGTGGGACTGGGAGCGCTTCACCGTGGTGGATGCCGGCAATGGTCAGGTCGCGTTCCACAACACCTTCCACAACCGCTTCCTGGAGATGAGAGGTGCAACCATGGGAACCAGTCCTCCCCACGCTGTGTCTGACTTGCAGAGCTCGTGGACCTGGCAGCGCTTCACGGTGGTGCCTGCTGGGAACGGTCAGTTTGTGTTCCACAACACCCTCCACAATCGCATGATGCGGATGTCCTCCAGCACCATGGACAGCAGCCCCGAAAAGGCACCGCAGGACCTGCCATCGCCATCAGAGTGGACCTGGGAGCGATTTCGCATCGTGCAGGTCTCCGACGCCAGCGAGACAGCAAAGAACGTTCGTGCGACCTTTGATTGAGCTTGAGCGAACCGTCATAGTCGACGCAGGACGAGCATTGCAAAAGCAACTTTGTGCATAGTGTTTGCCTACACTCATGTCTTAGATCAGTTCGTTTCAGGGAAGACATGTCCGCACTGCCATCAGTGCGCTTCTCTATGAGACAAGAGTTCGAACCAGGTAGCCAGCGCCATCTGCGTGGAGAGCTGCTGCGTCTGCTCTGATGGCAGCTTCCCAGGCCTGGCTTGGGGGGTGCCCCACGGCAGTTTGAGCTTTCCTGCGCGCTTCTTTTCGGAGCATCCTTGGTATTACTATTATTACTATTACTACTGTACTATTAGTCCTATTATTTCTATTACTACTATTATGCTTATTATTACTATAGTTACTACTATTACTACTATTACTGGTGAGAGGTCCAACGCGGATGCTTCGCGGTCTGGAAGGCCGGCTGCCGCAGGGAGCCCAAGTCGGCTCGCTTCCTTTAGGGGGAGGTACAGGGGCCTGCTGTAGTCCTTCCCTTCTTCGTGAAAACATGGGATGATATATATATATATATATATATATATGGTATAATACATAAATAGATAAATGAATAAATAAATAAATAAATAACTAAATACATATATATATAATATAATATGTATATATATATATATAATATATATATATATATATTACCATATACATATATATATATATATATATATATACACATGTTGTACGACGTTTGGAGTTGAGATGCGTTTGCATGGGCTTTCCTATCCGCAGGGGTTTGTTCGTTTCTTCAACTGCTTGTTTCATGTCCCGCCCATATATATATATATATACACATGTATTTGGTTGGTTCGTCTTTGACTGTTGCGTTTTATGTTACGACATAGGCCTGACTTTAGCAGACGGCTGTGGGGTTCTTATCGTCCAGCCATTGCTACCGTTCTGCAGTTAGACTCGCTGATTCCCTTAACTTCACGAAGTCATCCTTATGCACTCGCTGTCATTCTCTCATGTCTCGTAGAAGCAACTGAACCGCGAAGTTGTTCACTCCTGCGGTCGCTGACTAGGATGCGTGGACCGGGACTAGCGTGTGAACTTGCGTTTCTCGTCTTGCCGCTGTAAGCCAAGGCAGTTCACCTCTCCGGCCATTCGCCGCAACCAGCTGGTGACAAAAAATGTGGGTGGGAGTCTCCGCCGACGACGACAGCTACAACTACAGCGACAGCTACAACTACGTCAACAGTAACATTAGCAGCAGCTGCAGCTAGCGCTGTTGTATGACGAGAACAGCAGCAAGTACTACTACTACTACGACGACGACGACTACTACTCCTCCTCCTGCCCCTGCTCGTGCTCCTATCATGCTCCTGCTCCGGCTCCTGCTCCTGCTCCTGCAGCCGCCACGGCCGTGGCCACGTCACGGCCACGACCACAGGGGCGGCTACTGCGACGACGGCGCCAAGTGCACCTACCCCCGACCTCAAGATCCAACGTGAGATGTGCAGAGCCTGGAGATCCTGCCTGGCACCTGGAGCCTTTAGGAACTTTAGGGTGCGGGGCATCGGATTGGGCTTTAGGGTCGAAGGTTTGGGCTTTAGGGTCGAAGGTTCCAAACATTTTTGGTGTTGACACTGGAAATCCTGGAGCCGAAGTCTCCATACCTCGGAGTTTTGCGCCTCTTCCCAGCTGTTCCGATCGCCCGCCTTGCTGCTTGCAGCTTGCGGAAAGTCCATGAGAGGAGGTATCCCGGAGAAAGCCAAGCCCCACCTCCGCAAACCTTGAACCCTAAACCTTAACAAGACTTACGCATCATGAAACGCACTGTTTTCAATATCGCCGCAGGCTTTAAGCTACACCGCGAAGTCTACGAATCCTGAAACCAGTTAAACCCTCAGCCCTCAGCCAAGCCACACCAAGCCCTAAACCCTAAACCCTAAACCCTAAACCTTAAACCTTAAACCATAAACCCTAAACCCTAAACCCTAAACCAGAAAGGAGCCTTTCATGACCCATTATCAGGGCCCGGGCCTAGTAAGCAAAGGGCTTCTCATGGGTTTAGGGTTTAGGGTTTAGGGTTTAGGGTTTAGGGTTTAGGGTTTAGGGTTTAGGGTTTAGGGATGGGCCCCTGAAGATGGCTGCGGCGTTGCTGCCCGGAGTCGTCGCCCCGGGAGTTCTTCTGCTTTTGGGGGGCTCCGGGGCCCCTAAACCCTAAACCCTAAACCCCCCCGTTGTGTTCAGGTTTTTGGAAGTTGATGTTTGTTTTGGTGGTTTGGGTTCGGTGTCTTCTTTGTCTTTCCCGGGACTTGGTGTGTTTTTTCGCGGTTTCGGGTTTGGTTTGAGGGTGTGGTTGGGCTTTGGGATGTTTTTTAAAGTCTACCCTAAACCCTAAACCCTAAACCCTAAACCTGGTTTTCACGACGAGGCAGGCGACTCACCATGCGGCGCGTGCTCCTCCTGCTCGGCTTGGCCGTCGGAGCCCCGAGTCGGTTTTTTCGGTTTTCTAGGGTTTTGGGTTGTAGGGTTTAAGAGGGTTTAGGGTTTAGGGTTTAGGGCTTTGGGTTGTAGGGTTTAAGAGGGTTTAGGGTTTAGGGTTTAGGGTTGTAGGGTTTAAGAGTACGTTATGACGGGCATATTAATAGAGCAGCCTTTAAAACAAAGGTAATTGGAGCCAGAGGTATGAGTTCTTCCGAAAATGGGGGTGCCTTCTTCTGGGGTCCTTATAATAAGGATCCTATTGTTTAGGGTACTATCTGAGGGTCCCCTATTTTCGCGTTGTGGGGTGATGTTGGAAGCTTGGAGCTCCTGCGCAGGAGTAGAACGGGGCGTCGTCCTCCAAGTAGTTGCGGTAGCAAGGGCCTTGTAGGAAAAAACCGAGGCTGCTGCACCCGAAACCCTAATTAAACCCTCTGGCCATGAAGATCTGGACCTCCCACAAACGCCTCAAGGAACCCTAAAGCCCTAAACCGTAAAGCCGTAAAGCCCTAAACCCTCAACCCTCAACTTGAAAGAACTCCTCAAAAGGCTCTTATCTACCGAGGTTTGGGTCGCGAACCCCCAAAGTCTGGGATCGGAGACCTCGCCGGGGGCCCGAAGCTTTTGTAGGCTTTTTTTTTTGTGGAGCTTTCAGGTGACTCTAGGTTTGAGCTAGGGTTTTTGGGCCTGTTGAGGGGTTTAGTGAGGGTTTTAGGCTTAGGGTTTTAAGTCGGGGTGATTCAGTGATGCAGTGACAGTTTTAGGTTCTTTGGGCTTCAAGGTTACAGTCTCTAGAGGCTTCCACAAGGAGTCGACGAGTTGATGGTTTGTTTAGGGTTTAGGATTCATTCCGGATATCTTTTGGGCAGCTCGGAACCCAGAGAGCCCAACACCCCTTAAATAAGGAATATACCTGAAATTATAGGGGCCTTAATCTTATGATTTAAGCTCTATTCTCTAATTAAGGGGTATGGGGCTCTCTGGGAACGCGAAGATACTAAACCCAAAATTATAGCATATAGCCCTTAAAGGACTTCTTATTAAAAGGAGCCCTATTCTCATTATTAAGGATCCTACCCTAAACCCTAAACCCTAAACCCTAAACCCTAAACCCTAAACCCTAAACCCTAAACCCTAAACCTAGGCTACGGGTCTGCGTGGCTCTAGAGGCTCCGGGGCTCTCGCCTTCGACTTCTGGGGCTCTGCGGCTCAGGGCGTCGGCTTGGGGCTCCTCAGACTTTCGTGTAGGTATAGGGTTTAGGGTTTAGGGTTTTAGGGTGTAGGGTTTAGGGTTTAGGGTTTAGGGTTTCATAGTATGGTATGGCTTAACCTACCAAAACCCACGTTTTTTTGGTAGGTTCCTATCATAAACCCTACTATGGGATTTAGAAGGACCCGACAAAAAAGGTAGGTTCTGGTGGGTTAAGGTCGTCTCATCAAGTCCAGTCGAGCATAGTTGCAGTGTAGCAGAGTATTGCGGCAAACGGGGACCCCGAGGGGGTGAAGTTTTTGGACTCTGCGGGCATCTAGCGGCCAGATGCTGCTAGTCAGAGGTGTGGGACGCGAAGCGACTTCGCTTGAGTTTCGGGTTTAGGTCTGGCACTCCTTGCCCCCTTGCCTTTGCAACAACGGCTGCGCGCGGCAGCCTCTCCAAACCTACGCAGCAAAACCCACGAGAAAGAAGCGACCTTCAAGCCCTAACTTCTGTACCTATAGAACCAAACCTCATAGGAAGCCTTGATGGAACTCTTATAGGAACCCCTTATACTACTTAAAGGATCATGGGACTTAGTAAGTAGGGTTATAATTAGGGTAAGTATACT